CACACACACACACACACACACACACACACACACACACACACACTCACCATAAACAAAACTATATACTGTCCAGATTGGGATATGGCTCAAGCTGGTAAACAATGTCCCATATGTTCAATTAGTAAGTGCAATGAAAGTAAACCACTTGGTCAATTTTTCCACACAGGAGTCCATCTTTATTCTTATTCTGTGCGTCAAGTCCTCCATGACATATATGTCCTTAACAATTTTCAGCCAGTCCTCTTTGTCAGTGGGGTCTTCTTTGTACCATTTTTTGGTAATTGTTTTTTTACTTGCAATGATCAGGATTCTAAACAGGTACCTGTCAGACTTACACAAAATATTTCCTGAGACATTTCCAAGATACAACACTGTGAATGTTTTGGGTATCTGGTAGCCAAGTATTGCAACAATTGTACAATGTACATCATCCCAAGCAAACCAGGCTGAAGCCCCAAAACATGTGCATGGTTTACATTAGTCTCCCTACATATTTGCTTCTCAGTTTGGGTGTGATAAAGAAATGTAAATTTTTTTTCCAACAATCTTCTCTCCATGTATGTGATGATGCAGTGGTGTGCTGTGTCTGCCATATGTGTAACCAGTCTTCTTCTGAAATATCAATTTCAAACCCCTTTTCCCATTTGCGTTTCACATATCATGTGTTCCTTTTAAATGCCATTAGTTGTCGATATTTAATAGATATTATTCTCTGGCCATTCCATATATAGGTTGTGATGAAACATATGAAATGTGCTCTACCGAATGGCTGAGCAGGATGTTAGAGGGTTAAAATGAAAATGTTTAACAGACCTGTGATGGAATAGAATGTTAAACACAGCCCATGATTTCTATAGCAGCACAGATGAATTCAAAAGCTGACATAACATTGTATTATTAGATGGTTCAATTCATTGCTTATTAAGATAGTAACAAAAATAGGAAAAGTGATGGTGAGCCTTGTTGTAATGTTGCTGTACCTGTCTCTTGGTGTAAGCTTTCTGTTTTTACCCTCTTTCTTCTTAGTAGTTCCACAGTAGTAAACGCATTCATCAGAATCAGTGACATTTGTAATCAGCAGGTCGTAGGAACTAGTAGAAGAGTTTAGTCTAATTTTATAACGTGGAAATGGCAGACAATTGATCCAGCAGAAACTATTTAGGACAAGTGTTTGCTGGTTTTTGTGAGAACAAAACCAAATTGAATGAACCAAGAGAACAGGAGCAATCATAAGCAGTCGGCCCATAGCTGATGACGACCTGACAGGCTAGAAGGAAGTGTGACTTTTTGTACTTCAGACTGATGGGACCTGCTCAAATATTTCCATTAAAGGTAACTCTCCATACATTATTCTCCAAACCAATATCCCTTGAACTTCTCAAACTCTGCCTTTGTCACAGGCTTAGTAAGAACATCAGCCACCCTGTGTGCAGTAGGGCAGTATCCTATAGATATCTTTCCTTCTGCGTGTGCAGATCGAACGAAGTGATACTTTATATCAACGTGTTTGCTTCTTTGTCTGCATACTGGGTTCTTAGATAGAGCTATCGCCCCTTGGTTGTCCTCATATATCTTGACTGGTACATGCTGGTTACTACTATCTATTCCTTTAAGTAGTTGTACAAGGTACATACCCTCCTGAGTAGTGGCTGCTAGCGCCATGTACTGCACTTCGCAGGTGGATATTGCCACCGTCGACTGTTTCTTACTCTTCCATGATATAACTGGACCATTCGTAGTTAAGCTGAAACAGTATCCAGTTGTGCTTCTCCTGTCATTTTTATCGGCCGCCCAATGAGCATCACTATATCCTTCAAGCTGTAGGCTTCCCTTACATTTTTGGTAATGTAATTCCTGATCAATAGTACCTTTTAAGTACCTCAGTAGGTGTTTTGCTGTGGTCCAATGCTGTTGTTTTGGCTCTGCTAGGTGCT